GAAATTGCCAAAGAAGTGGGAGGCAAGGCTGGGATTGCCAAAGCTCTGTGTGGTCTTTCTTGCAGTTTTGAGGGTCAAAAATGTCTCCATAGTGCCCTCGAGTACTTTGTTTTGAGTGTAAAAGATGATTGATGGAATCATCGGCATTCAGTCTCCCCTCGTTGGAGAGGAGGCGACAAAGTACGAGGTATTAAGACGAATCTCCTCAGTTGCGTTAGTTCACATTGCAGCTCATGGTAAAAGAGAAACAGGAGAGATCCTCTTGGCACCAAACACGAAGAGGACAACTCACTAAGCTCAAGAGGAAGACTGTCTACTGACAATGAAAGACGTCTTACAAACTTGGCTGCGAGCGAAACTGGTTGTGCTACGTTGTTGTCACAGCGCTTTCGGAGAGGTTATGGCCGAAGGTGTGGTTGGCATTGCACGAGCGTTTTTGGGTGCAGGTGCTCGATCCGTTCTAGTATCTTTACGGGCCACTAACAACGATGGTACTCCGAAGTTCATGAAACATTTCTACGGAGCCCTGGCTAAAGGCAAGAGCGCCAGTGAAGCTGTCAACCGAGCCACGAAGTGCATGAGAGAATCTGAAATAATCAGTAAAGCGAGGCTCTGGGCGCCTTTTGTACTCGTTGGGGATGACGTGAAACTGGAACTCACGGAAATTTAAAAGTTATCGATCGTAAGTGAAATTGAAATGTGAGATACTTATCATTATTTCCTCCTTGCTTTCAGAACAACCAAAAAGACGACCTTTTTGTTGTCTTTTTAGTTATCCTGAGGTCAAATTGAGATATTAGTTTTAAATCTTCATTTTGTTTTTAGAGATCAAAGTGCACAGGTAAATAAAAATTAAGACATTTGTTATGGGCTAAGTTATATTGCACTGAATGTTTCATTACCGTGACACGGGTTTGTCTTTTGTAATAAAAAAAAAAACAAACAAAATAAAAAACGTGTGAAGGTGTAGTCTGATCGTCCGGGTGAGTGTAGTCCTGAGAAGGACTGTTGTCGGTGGTAGTGACTGACGTTTCGACAACCTGTGCGGAAGTCATCATCAGAGTCAAGTGAATAGTTGTTGTCGGTAGAACGTTCTTATTTCAGTTCGTGTGAAATAGTTGGTCAGTTTTGCCCTGATGTTATTGGCTGTAAGACTCTAGTGGTGTAAGTCGCTCGTGACCGGTCTGTTTCGATCCGTCGGTAAAGTTAGGTCGTTCTGTCTGGTTCGTTTGTAATGTTTATGTCGTGAATGAGTCGGCATGCAAAAACAAGGAAATTAAGGCTGCGTGCTCGTTATCGTTATCATCTTACCTTCCCCACTGATGGAAAGGATGGTTAGAATCAACCTTCTCAGTTGATCCCTCTCCGCCCTTGAACTATGGTCTCAGTGTACTTTCCTAAGGTTTGTTCCCAACGCGCTGTGTCTAGCTTCGTCTCAGTTGGTCAGCCTCTCGTTCTGGTGGCCGGTAATTGTAATCTTCAGGATTTCTTCGTCCTTCTGTATGTCCTAACATGACCAGTCCATAACCACCTTCTCTTTAGTTTGGTCTTTTCGGCTGATAAGCTCACACATTTGACATCGCTGCTTCTTGCTCAATTTCATTGTCTTGGAAGTCTTCGAGTTTCCCAGGGCATAATCATTCCGGAACGTTTAGAACATTCTCTCATCTTCCTTCCTTACTCACCAGGTCTTGGAAAGATTATACAGCGAGGCAGCAAGAAACTTCTCCATCATTTACATTCATTGCACCCGTCCTCACCCTCTCTCTTTCTCTCTCTCTGGTCAAATCGAAGCACCTTTTCCCCTTTTGCTAAATTTGCACCTCGTAGCTGTTGCGCAGTCATTTAATCTCTTAAAATCTGTCGCTCCTGGTCTCCTATCGGGATTCTCGTCACCGCATTCAAAGTCCAGCATCTCTGTTGAAATCCTTCTTCCATACAACAGCTTGGCAGGGCTAGCATGTAAAGAGACATGTGATGTGGATCTCAGTGATAGAAGGATAGGTCTGATTGCCATGAGTATCGCTTGGCGCTTGTATGGGAAGCGGCCCGGCGAACTTATGTCACAGTGATCCATCAAAGAGCTAGTGTCTGAAAATAACTGAGCCACTGATAAAATAGATTTAGGTCAAAAGACTTCCTCGGTAACTTTGTAATCTATATGACCCTAGCCCTGATAAGCATCGATGTAAATTCTCGAGCCTATTTTTCCGTCAGGATGTACCGTTGCTAAACTTCGCTTAGGCTCTCATTGCTCAAACTGCTTCCTACCACAATAAAGCCTGGGGTTGACATCGTCCGATACCGAGACGATGCCTTTTGTTAGCTTTCATAAGGTCAAACATCGTCCTCGTGGCTTTTAGGGGATACAGTGGAACTATATTGCTAGATTTGCGAAGATGTCTTGCGCTTATTTAAGTATTTGCCCTTCCTTCAGTAAATATATGTTAACCCTCTCTACCGAACACGGCTTCTCTGGCTCGGCTATGATTTCGAGCTTATAATATCTATCAACGGGATATCTACCGCTAAACTTTCTAGAAGACTAATCTCGCTTTTCTAGTCGTCAAAGCTCTAGGGATATGAGATTCACATCCATTACCTTAGCCATCCGTTGGATAACAATTCTTCATTATCTCTTACTATGACAGTTGTCTCTGATGAGGTACAACCCCACATTAATCTATACTGAATGGACTTTGAAACTTCTTGTCTTTCACAACTGCTCTTTGTCTTTTATCCTGACCAAACACTATTCGGGCGAGTAGAGCTCATTCAATAAGGTTACGTGGAGTCAATTGCTGCTGAAATGCATTTCTCCTCGTCTAAAACTGTTCTTCTTCTCAAATGATCAATCATACCCTCTGGAATCAGCTGAACAATAATTCCATCTTATCTCTACACAAGTCACGAAGTGTCAATTCATTGGCAGCTCGGCGATCAGACCTTTACTCCAACCATCCTGTGTGTTTTCTCCATCCACTTTTCCAAAACTATTTACCTTTCTTCGTGAAAATACTGCTATAGAGGCACATCTATTGTCTATGACATCGCTTTTGCATTCATGGCGTATCTATTCCGTCGGTAACATTTTCCTTTGTTAAAATAAATATCTTAGTCTGAAGAAATAGTAGTTGCCGAGGCTAGGAATGCGTTTGAATAGCTTGAACTACTTGCAGAATAAGCCATCACGTCTCGAGTATCACATTCGGCGCACGTATAGAAACTTTAAAAATAAAATAACTGTGCTTTAAGCTCAGTGATTTTATTTTGACAGTTTCTATACGTGCGTCGAATGTGATACTCGAGACGTGATGTCTTATTCTGCAAGTAGTTCAAGNCCGGATTTAACAATGTACAGAAATTAGATTATGGTATATTGGCTCATATACCATAATGGCTGAGCCAATAAAAAGTCTTGAATTGCATTATCCAATGCTCCAGTTTTTAATAACAAGATATATATATTAGGGCGGGCATTTTATGAAATCACGAGCATGAGCTGTGGCAACAAAATAGTTTTTGGCAATTCTTTAAAATCGGTACATAATGCAATTGCAGTTCATTTTACCGTTACTTTTAACCCCAGGATCTGCTTCTTGTTTTCTGTATATCTCTCAGAGCTTTTGCTCTGACATTTGGTGTTTATGCAAACTCTCGCAATATGTCCGGATCGTCCCTTGGTAACCTTTGGTGGGGAAATGGTGAAATTGTAGGTTATTTTTTTTTTAACTTTATCAAATGGAATATACTAAGTTAGAGAACTCTTAAGGGAATAAAGAATCTTGGCAAAGTTGAGGAAAACCAAAAATTCCTGTTGAAGCTTAGAAATAACTACCCTATTAATTCTCTTGAAAGATACATACAGTTTCTAGGACTGGGAATGAAATCAGACAAACTGATGATCTACAGAAAGTAATCCTGGTTGCTGAAGCTTTGGGCTTCTTACGAGCAAGTGTCTTACAATGATTAAAAAAATACATATGTTCGAACCATCGTTAATTTCAGTTTGAACTTCATTTAAAACAGAAGTTACTTCGAAGTCATCGCTTTTAATTTCGCACCCAGTCGGAACTTTGTCGGGTCCGGAATTAGTGGATGTTTGCAGGAACATGCCCGTAGTCGGCTAAGAAGCAATCGGAGAATCGTCGGCTTCAATCATAATTTCAACATCCGGTTCGTCGCCACTGTTCGCATCGTGGACAGTATCATCAGAGTTTCGTTCTTTCGTTTGATTGTCTTGCTTGACGTTCATTTGTTCCTCAAGCGCCTCAATCGTTTCTTTACTCCTGATACTACCTCTTTTCCATACAGTTTCCAGAAATGGGAATGAAAACTGGGTTAGGGTTATACCGAACTGTCTTTAAGTCGTAGGGGACAACAACAATTACCATCGGAAAACAAAATGTGTTTTGGTGAGCCACAGACCGCGAAAGCATTTGATACCTATAAAAAGCCGAAAAGTTGAACTATTTTCTTAGGAAGAGCACTATTTAACTCCATTTACAAGAGAACGTACTCGAGATATCAATTAGCCAAAAAACAAATTAATTTAGTCTTCCCCCATTGACTGAAACCCGATTATACTTCTACAAATTTGAAATACATTTGAAAATGTCTTCAAATGTATTGCTTCTAAAAAATTCTTACCATCATCTTTACTCAGTTTAACTCCGATCCCTGTAGATGTATTTAACTCCAGTTGTCTGCATTAGAGACATTTCAGTTTCGCGATCGAATTAATCTTTGTTTACATACGATGTAAATAATTCAAAAGCTTGCCGTGATCACGAGAGGGGAGTATTTTCTATGAAAATGTAAAATAAAATAATTTAGCAGTTACTAAAGACAAAAAAGTTATCAAGGCGTATAAATTTTCATGCATAAGTTTTTTTTTTAACACTGGAGACAGCCAAGATAGTTTCCAGTGAAACTTGAAACTGTTCATTAGCGAAGCAAAGCGCCTCTTTTTATTTAGTGCTTTTAATTTACTCGCAAAGACGTACACATAACCCCTTTAAATCAGAAAGTCTAGGTGTGACTCGGCTTTTAGTACTGGAGATTTACATTATTCTTTTAACAAAGCATGACATTTTTAAAAATTAACTCAAACATTGTAAAGTGTTCGTGCAATCCGTCACTTGGCGAGTTTTTTTGAGCTCCCGGTTTGTGGTCTGTTCACTAAACCTCTCCTCCATTTTTCTTGGTTGTACTTTGGTAGTTTCTAGAAAAGTTTTCCCCGAAACATAATCACTGGGTTCAACGGTTTCCGCCTTCCAAATGTTCAAGTTCAAACCGGTTCCACCGTGTGATAACTTCATGCAACAAAGCCCTCGAACTAGAAGCCTTCGAAATGCGTTGCGAAAAGTCGTCGTAAAAAGCATATAGATAAGAGGGTTAAATGTGCTATTTGCGTAGTGTAACCATTTGCTAATGGCCACCCAGCCGTGGTCATTCGGGCAGTTTTGGTGACAGACCGCGTACAAAAGAACAATCGAAAAGAACGGTCCCCAACACAAAACAAACGCCCCAATCACGATTCCTAACATCTTGGTGATTCGAAGCTCATGGCGAAAAGTCATGTTGTGTTCTCTTTGAATTCCGTGTTGAATTTCCGAATTGGCGGCGCAAATTTGTCGAACTTGTCGAACGGCTACGCAACCAATTTTACTGTACATCACGATCAGGATGAAGAAAGGAATAAATAATGCCGCAATAGAGATAAAACTAGCATAGACCTGTCCCGCAATTGGCTTGAAGTTTTGCTCCACTGTTACCATCGATAAACTTGCACAAACGAAAGCGAAGAGCCAAGCTAACGCTATGGCGGTCTGAGCTCGCTTTGGAGTCATTCTGCTGTGGTAAGTTAGCGGCGAGTTGATCGCCAAATGTCTGTCAACGCTGATCACACATAGATTTACTATGGATGCTGTGCTGCAGAGAATGTCGACATATTGCCACGAATAGTAAAGCACCTTCTCTAATCGTATTTGGTGAGGAATCTGTGAAAGACGCGAAAGTTGAATGTACATCCAGCATGGCATTGAAAGTGAAGCCACGAGGATGTCCGCTACCGCGAGCGAAACAACGAAGTAGTTGGTAACTGTGCGAAGTTGGTGAAATCTGTGAAACGCCGCTATCACCAAACCATTGCCGAACAAAGCCAGGAAAATGACCACACACATCATTGCCGCTGTAAAATTGAATTCCTGGGGGTCTACCGGAGGGCTTGTTATGGTAGAACTCACATTATTTCCTTGTGGCGAGGGAGAATCCATTGCGAGGATCTTTAAACTGAACTGAAATTCTGATGGAAGCCGAAGAGATATCAGAGCATCGAACCGGCTTGAAAGAAAGGTTGTTTACACTGGCTCGAAAGCGTTTGTGATAATGAAATTCATTCTCATCCAAGGCAAATTCTTAATTAGGTTCTATTTAGACAGGTGCCGGATCAAAGTTACAGAATTACTTTCTGACTAGTTGTGTATTTATCGCAAGCTACTAATCTGAAGTATGTAAGGAGATGGAGGAAATGTCCAAAAAAGACGTCGGTAACATTACGGTCACACAAAATCAATAATCTAAAACAAACGTAAAGAAAGATGTCTACAGAACCGATATTACTGATCCCGCAATTCAAATAATCTCGACCATCCGAAAGTAAACATCTCTGCCATGGAGATTTTCTTCATTTTGTTGTGATTGCACCAAAGTAAATTGGTTTAATTCGCGGTGTAGCGCAAAGCGGAGGGCGAGGCTTGCTGTACAACCGCTCTTTTAGCTGTCCATCTTTGAAAATGAACCTTAATGAAGTTTTCATGGTGTTTGTCTTTGTGCAACTGGCGAGACATAAGTAAAAAGACAAATACAGCTGAAGATCGTCTGTTTGTTGCTTCGCCTGACGAATAACATGCAATATTCTTACATTACCCAAAATACAATCGCATGTATAACAGCCCACAAATGTACAACGTTTACATAAGACTCAACGTCATGTAATTGGTAGTCGTCAAGTTAACAGAAGCTTTTCTTACGCCTTCCTGCGTAATAATTGATGAAAAAACCCCGCCACGATTTTACAGTTGACGCGAAATTTAATACAACGGATATGAGAGTAAAAGTAATAACCGCGCAAGGGGAATAATTGTGGTTCTTAACGCGATTTAAGAGTCACCAGCTTCCTTTTCTTCCAGTAATTCGTTTATTTTGCTTCCTTACATATAAATATTATGAAAAAGAGTTTTTTCTAACTATCTTTCAGACGATTGATTTCCTTTATTTTGTGCAACAAGACAAACATTTTCTATCACTGCTACGAATCCATGCATCGTTTCACTCCAAACCGTTTCCTGATTCATCGGGGTTTAGGTATAAAACTAGTTCAAAAAAATTAAAACAAAATTGAAAGATTCATTTGCGATAAGTTCGTTTTAATTTCCAAAGCCAAGCAGGAAGCTTTGGGCTCCCCACTCTCAATGATTAAAAAAAAAATTATCCGTTGGAGCCATCGTTAATTTCATTTTCAACATCATTTACAACAGAAGTTACTTCGGAGACATCGGTTTTAATTTCACTCCCAGTCGGAACTTCGTCGGAATTGGTAGATTTTTCGTGGGACGTGCCCGTAGTCGTCTCGGAAGCAATCGGAGAATCGTCGGATGTAATCGTATTTTCAGCATCCGGTTCGTCGCCACTGTTCATGTCCTAAAGTGAATCATCAGAGTTTCGTTCTTCCGTTTGGTTGTCTCTTTGGTCCTCCGGCGCCTCAATTGTTTCTTCACTCGATATTACCTTTTCTCCACACGTTTTGTCCTCACCATTTACCTGTTTTGTCCTTCTAACATCGGAATTGTCGACATCTAGCTGAGAAACGGCGGAATTGATTTCCTTAGGCTAAAGAAAAAAAAAAAAAAAAACCTGCCTTGTGACCAAAGATTTCAAGAAAGGGCTAAGCAAGAAAAACAATCAATTGACTGAGTTGAGAAACTGGCCCTCCTCAAAACGTCGGAAACGTACGGAAACAGATTAATTTTTCTTTTATTGTTAGATCGCACCAGGGTTAAAACGCTTCAAACAAAAGTTACATCGTTCCAATCGAGAGTTAGATCGCTTCAACAAATAAGTTGACTGAATACCTTGCTGATGTCGCCAGCTGTGACTTTGGCTCCCTTGTGCAGCGCTCGGCAAAGGTTTTCAAGCTTGTCGTTTTTCGATCGCAAAGCAGTTATTTCTTTTTTCTGTTTTTCACGCTGGATAGGGTGGACAAAAGAATACGTTAAATAAACTCACTTTCCCTTCATTTCATTGAATACCCAAGAACGGTCACGATCGACAGTTAAATCTCACAAAGTAATGCTTATGTGCAAGGAGAAGCCCAGAAGGATTTTGTTTTCACTAAAATTAACCTCAGTCAAATTGGTCTAAACTAAAGAATGCGTCCAGAGAAGAGGTTTTGTCGTGGGTTTAATAACATGTACCTCATCCACCATCTGCACCAATGAACGGTTGCTGTTTTCGCATTTCGTTTTCCACGTTACTTTTTCTTTTTCCAGTTTTTTTATTGTCTTCGTCATCTACAAGAAAGTGAAAAAAAAAAAAAAAATCAGTCAATCAATATGCTGAAAAAAGGAGATGTTGAGAACAAAATTAAGTGGATCCTCCATTGAGGGAACAACCTTTCATAGTGTGTCCCTTTTAAAGGGGCTGCAAAGTGTGTCCCTCAAATATAGGAGTCCCTCCATGAAGGCCGCAGGTATAAAAGTTATACAGTGGATTATCTATTCAAGGGAAACCCTTGAGGTTAGAAAATGATTTGTGTCCCTTTAATAAAAGAGTCTCAATACTTCGTACAGCCAATAACATCACGGCAAAACTGACCAATCACTTGACACGAACTGGACTAAGAACATTCTATTGACAACAACTATTCACTTGACTCTGATGATGACTTCAGCACAGGCTGTCGAAACGTCAGTCACTACCACCGACAACAGTCCTTGTCAGGACTACACTCACCCGGACGATCATACTTCACTTTCTCTCAATAAAGGCCACAGGCCTAAAAGTTACACAGAGGATGATCTTTTCAAGGGATATCCTTGGGGCTAGAAAGTTTGTCCCTTAAATGAGGAAGTCCCTCCATCAAGTCCAATGGTGAAAGTCTACACAAGTTTGCTTCCATCAGGGTTTATTACCTGTGTGGTAATATTGCATCCATTTTAGAGAAGTATCATGAGGTTTTACCCCATTACCACAATACAGGTTTTAACCCCCCCTCACAACCCCCCCCACCACCACTACTTGGCCTTACCAGGAGGTGTTATGTACATATTTGTAGAGGTGGCTCCACGAAAAGTCTTGACATTTTTGTGGGAATAAAACTTCTTTTCACAAACCTTATCCATTTCTTTCTTGAATGTTGAAAAGACTTCATTGCTCTTGTTGAGGGTTTTCTGAAATTCCTCAAACCTCTCAGCATACGTTGCCAGCTATTAAAGAAAGGGCACAGTGGTACAGTAAGAATTTCATATCAATAGGTAGCAAAATGGTGATCAAAATGGAAGTGATTTCAACCCATAATACTAATCGTAAGTGATTTCTTTGGTTCATTAACTACAAGACTGCACACTCATGTTAGCTAATGACATTCCAATACACTTAAAAAAAAATTTTATCTTGAACCCTGAGCTTGAAAAGCTGTGATCTGAATGTGATCTATAACAGCTAGCTTATTTCTGTTACTATCCTCGGATAGGTGGGGCTTGAAAACTGTAGGTTAATACCAGGAATTTGTCAGGTTTCACTTACAATTTGCTAGTGCCATTCCTATTCTTGGATGGAGGGCGGCACTCAGCGACAGTGTCAAACAGATAGCATAGATATGGAGACCCTGGGAGAGATTCCTTTTGTACCTTTCAAACAGGAGCCGAGTGCATGAACGATGAGGCCACTAAATCAACTGCAAACCCAACCAAAGCAATATTACAGTAATGATTTTCTCTCTGTACCTGTGATTTCATCTCTGCTTCCTGTTTTGTCAAGATTTCACACTGCTTCTTATACTCTACCACTTGCTTAGTCAACTGGATAACCACACACACAAAAAGATTGCAAAGTCAGGGAAAGAAAATACATAAAAATGTACAAGGGATAAGAAATTTCCTTCAATAATTTCCTGCACTTTCTTTCAACCACCACTCTAAAACACAGATTTAAGTGCTGCTCTCTAGTGAACATGTGAAAGATGGAATGACACAATTCTATTCACAAAGCAAAACCACTGGCTAAAGTGCACCTCTTGGGAGATCTTTAATAATAAAAGAGTACAAAAACTAGATTGTACATTTAAAATGCTTACACAATGTAAATTTCTATTTTCCATCTAAGGCGTTAAAATTAATAAAAACTTCTTTAAAACCAATTTCTTTGGGTTGGTAAATATACTGTAGGAATTGGCAGCTAAAAAACCATCTGGTAGTTTCTTTGCAACTCTTCGTTGTACACATCTATGTACTAAGAAGGAGAGGATTTTGATTGATTTTCAGGGCTGTGGTCTTGCAGGGTCCAGTGGCCCCTGGTGCCTTACTTTTGTTCTTGGGCGACTCAGGAATCTTAGTTTTTTTTTCATAAAAAGCATATGCTGGACACCCTGGATTTCACAGTTTCAGAGCACTGGGCTCCCTTCAACTTTTCTTAGAGCACAGGCTACATTTTACAATGAATTCTTACAGCTGAATACAATGTATAGCAGGTGGTAAGAGATATTGAGATCAAGGGAGTCAAAGGGTAAAATAAACCTAAAAAAAACTTGTTCACTCTGTTTTTTGGACCTTAATCCAAAGAAGGGTAAAGACCTTTTCTCCTGGTGCTTTACATTTAAGTTACAAGGGACATAATCTTACCAACTGGTTTTCTGTCAAGGTCTTCTCCTTATCCTCATTAAACTTCAGGTTTTGCTGAGCCATTTTTGCTTCTGCCAACTGAAGCTCAAGCTGCTTGTGCTTGAATACTTTTTCCACATGCTAGAGAAAGGAAGAATTGTTTATGTATTTAAAAAAGATTTAACATTATTTATCAACAAACCACAGTCACACATGTAATGACTTGTACCTTCACCTGGATATCATATGCTAATAACATGTGCTTGTTTCTCCAGTTGAAGAAGGATGTTTTTTTTTTCACAGTACAAAGATAAAAAATTCACCTTACTGTTCAGATGCTCTAACCACTGAGGTATAAGACTCTACTTGGTTCATATGTGACAAATGTTTTGCATATTGTTAGTATCAACAATCTCAGATTTGAGTGAGTAATAGAATGAAAAAAATTGTGATGGTGATGCTTAAGAAATAAGTTCTTTTTCTCGTCTTGTCACGAGCTTGGGAAAAATAGAAATGTACCTCCTTGTAAAATATTGTTAAGTTTGCATTTCCATAAAAATCTCTGATTTAACATTCTGGAAAAGTTTACCATGAAAATTGGTGACATAATACTAGAACGGCAGCTTAATAAGGGGAAATAATCATGTTAGCTCACCTTTGTAAGATAAATTTTAATATATCAACCATGTCTTAAACAGCTTTTAGCTGAGATGCTGATAGCAGCAAGTGTATTTAAATATTTGTTGTAGTACTGTACGTTACCTCTTCGCGGACTTCATATTGTTCAACCAAGCCTTTTAGTCGTGTAGCAAGTCTGTTTAAATGGAAAACATTCAAATTTAACCCACAACAAAACTGAATGCATAAAAATGTTTCAAGCATTTACATTTGTTGGTGATGAGAAAGAACATGCATTAAAGAAACCTTTTTCAGCTTTGATTTGGATACTTCAGGTTGATCATTAGGGAGTTATCTTGAGTCTTCATATCACTTACTCATTGTTTTCAGTCTTCAGCTGTTGGTTTGCTTTAAAGTTTTCTTGCATTTGCTCTGAGATGTCATTGATAGTTGTCTGAAACTTTTCTGAAAGTTCCTTTCGTTTGGCCTCCTCCTCCTGGGAACGTAGTTGACTCTCTTCCTGATGACAAAGAAAAATAAATTCTTGAAGGCTAGAATTTCCAGACTCAGAATAAATCATAACATACACATTTATACTACACAGTAATGCAGTCATGGTACTAATTCCATCATTTCAATCCAGAGTTCAGCTGAACAACCACTAAAAAAGGCTTGCCACAATTGTTAAAACACTTCCATCTCAAGGCTGTACTCTAAGGAAAATTGAATGGAGCCCAGTGGTTTGAAACTGAGAAATCCAGGGTGCCCATCATATGTTTCTATGAAAAAACCAAAATTCCTGAATTGCCCAAGAGCAAAAGTAAAGTGCCAGTAGCCACCAGGTGCTGCTAGACCACAGCCTTGCATCTGCCCTCCCTCCCCCCCTTGCTATTGTTTGAAGCACAAAAATTTGACACTGGAAAATATCTTAAAACTGAGGGGGGAGCAAGGAGATTAATCAAAACTTGAAAAGCAGGGCTATTAATAAGAGCCATAACCTATAACACCCATTATGGCTGAGCTTATGCAATGCTACGGGTGAAGATGTTGAATTTGCTGCCATGTTAAACTTCATCACATAATTATTACAATGCTACAGATAGTATGTCCAACAAAACTGCAGCTTCATAAATTAATGACAGCCTTTCAAAGGGTCATAGGCCTTTGAGTGTCCCACCATTAGATGATGAGAAAACTTTGTAGTTTAGAGGGATGAATTCTCACGTGGTATAAAATTCTAAGCAAGCACCTTCACAAGTTTGCTGTGACGTTGTAATTCTCGGCAGAGACTTTCCAATTTATTTTTGGCCAAACTTGCTTTGTTGAACTCTGACTGCAACTGGTCTCTTTCTCTTGTGACCTAAAATATTTCACAAACAAATTCAATAACATCAGCTTTTCCATACTCCAGGAGTTACAGTTATTCCCTTTTAATTTTACAACTCACTATTTTAGTTCCATCATCATAACACTTGCATGTACAAGTTCACCCTTCTAGCATCTCTCCAACTATCTGACATGTGAGATATTTTTAATTGGTAAATATCATTCTGATATAACACCAAATTCTCTAAATGTATCACCAGAGAAAATGTGTAACCACCTCTTTACTGGAAAAAGTAAGGACATTTATGGAAAAGTTGCATATTAATAACTCCTCGACATCATTTATACACCGAATGCAAATAGGGCGTCCAATTTGAGTTGTCATTGTTCTGGACTGACTAGCCTCTCACACATGTAATAATCCTTTTGCATTTCCATGTAAAGACGAGGCTAGTCAGTCCAGAACAATGGCAATTCAAATTGGACGTCATATTTGCATTCAGTGCATAGGGATAACTAAGAAAGTATCCTTCAGTGGTCTGAGCCACTTAATGTAGACATTGTGTAGCTCTGTTTTCTATTCTATTGTTTAGGAATGCTATGGAATAATGGGACGGAATAGTGATAGTGATAAAAGAACAACTACTTGCAGCAATTAATGCTGAATTACGAGTTGTTTTACAACACTTTGAGAGGGACTTTACCAGACTGCTAGTAGCAGTTTACAATAAATGAAGGTGAACCTAACAGATGCCCCCTCCCCCAATTCCCAGTAAACAAGCCAGACAAAATCACAGTAATCTCGTGAGTGGGTTATTTGACGTCCCCTGCCTAACCAAATTAACAAATTAATAGATGCAGGAGATGGGACCTACGGTTTACTCGTCCTTATCCGAGAAGGCTAGAATGTCTATCCATTTCTTGATATTATAGAAAGGTAGCACATTCTCCTCAGTTTTAAGACTATGAGTGCTGGTCCGGCCGGGGTTCGAACCCTTGGCCTCCTGCACAACAGTCCGGTGCTCTAACCAATTGAGCTAACCGGGAGGTGGTTTAGGACATAAGCTGAAAATTATGTGTGCTATGAAGAGGCAACCAATGATGGCTCCACCTAACCTTTTCCAATCTCTTCTCTAATTCGTCTTTCTTTACTTCGGTGATTTTGTTTTCTGATATCTACAAAAGATAAAGCATATAACAAAAGGTAAATACCATAACTAGGTAGTTGAGTTAGACTGCCATTCTAACATCTATAGTCATTGTAAGAAAGAATGAAACAAAGGTTTGAAAAAGAAAAATACCACAGTTTCTGGATGCAAGAGTTCACTAGTAATCCATTTATGTTTTGGAAATTTTTGGGAATGGTTGATCTCTTCTCTTGTTTCATCTATTCTTTTCTTTTTTTTTTTATTTCTGCTGCTTAACTTGAATATTTCTCAATTTTTTTTTAATTGACCGTTTGACAGTTTTTAATAGGCCCTAATTTTATACTCATTAAAAGAATCAATACTGAAAAGATACAATTGGATGACCGCATTTTAGACATACATGCATAAGATGTTGATCTCAGTAAGAAAAAATTTAATGAAATATTGACAACGCTGGAAGAGGTGCAAACAGCTTACTCAATATTTCTTGATATTAATTAAATAAAAGAAAAAAATTCGGATAGAATACAAGTACATGAACAAGTACAATTAATATCACTTACGACCACCCGGGTTGCAAGAATATCAAACTGTGCACATAAACAGTCACGAAAAAACGGGCGTATTGACGTACAAAAATTGGTGCACGAGAAAAAAAATATCTTGGTTGGGTCGATCGAATCAAGTGCCCGTGAGATGGTTACGTGTCAAACAAGTCTTGCAAATGCGAATCGCTTAAAATTATTACTGTCAGTGACAATTACTCGGCGGGTTTCGCTGATTACGACAAATATTTGCAGTCTTGTACTGGTAGTGAGTAATCATAGTTAGAAAATCCTTCCTATTAAAGCTATCAGAGAAGTTGTAAAGATTTCAAATAAACTGCAGAGGTCTAATTTCATACCATCTCTTACCAATTGTAAATGTTTTCTGCCAAGGGCGTCCATTTTCGCTTCAGGATTTTCCAAATCTTCGAATGATTTGTATAGTAACTCTACAAAATGGGTCAAAAGACGTGCGTTAATAAACATAATTTTCAGTGCAAGTCAATAGAATTTACGAGAAGGAATCGTGAAATACAAACATCTGAACTGTCGACTCCAAAACAGGTTTTCTTCAAAGGTTCAAATGCAGTTGCATCACGCCTCGTTTCCGTCAGCATAGAACACGAACGATTTAAACTTAACAATTTGCAACTTACTGAGCTTTTTCTCCTCTTCCTTTAGCTTCTTGTTGCTTTTCACTGGCTTTGTATCGGGGTTTTTAGCAGTTTTCTCGGTGATTTTTGACGCCTTTTCACTAACAAGTTCGACCGTTGGTTTGTTCGCCACTTCCGCCGCCGTTTCCAAGTGAGATTCACCATTCTAGAATCAAGAAAATTAATCCGCATGTAAAAGGAATTTTGACCCTGCAAGTGACCATATAAACTCTTAATGTGTTACCTGTGTTGTTTCTGCGGTCATATTTTCAGTTTCAAGGCTAGAATCCATGATGTTTCCTTGCTCACCGACACTTAGTACACTGATGAGTAAGTTGTTGGAGAATCGATATCTGCGCCTGCAGTAGTTTGTTTTGTAGCGGTCACTTTTGAAAGTCAATTCCAGCCTTCCCTTGCCAACCACAGCCAACTACAGGCAGCCCAAACGCATATTGTGTCATTTAAGAGCATGTCGTGTATTACCTGGCGACAAGAGGTTATGAACAGTTTAAATAGCTCTTGGTGACCAGTGGTACAAGCCAAATTTTCCCGGTATAAAATCCACTTTATGTTTCTTGGTCTTAAATCAATCATAAAACAAAAACGGGCTACTTTAGTTGTTCCGGGTTATGTGCATGCCACCACCTTTCGATAAAAGCCTTTCTTCGTTTCACATCCAAGCTGGAAGAGGGGTTTCCTGTTGATACGAAGAAGAACTTGGTATCTTCATGGAGTCACATGGAGTCTGATATTGCTTTGTCCCGCCTCTGGACTTATCCTCTGAAAACCAGGTGATTCCCCAAATTCCACCCCCCCCCTCCCCCCTCACCGGCGATAAATAATGACTGATTCCACGTGACCGCAGACGAATAGCCAAGTACTCAGACTTGCGCGCCAATTTAATATCGACCCCCCTCCCCCTTCAAATCCAGGTAATGATGGCCTATGTTAGAATTTGAAGGGGAAGCTAGGAAAGTTGAAATGAATTCGGAAGTTTAAATTCAAATATTTGTTTTTAAAAATTTCTTAAAATTTTGCGTTACAAGTTCTCCTCTGATGAATAACGATGGGTTCCAGACTCCATATGAAAGCATAATTCGGTAATTTATATATTTCTCTTCATACAATATCTCCACTTTAGAAAACTTTTCCTATCGTTCTTTGTTTTTTTTTTTTTTTTAACTTCTGAGTCTTAATTGGTGAATAAGTACAGACCCAGGCTCTCAGAAGAATTTTACATCGTTTTCTCTGTAATTGGCAATGTTCGTGTGGCAAATGGATACATTCT